GGAAAACATTAAAAAGGCTGAAAAATAGGAAAGATATCGTTATACTTCCAGCCGACAAAGGATGCACTACAGTAGTTATGGACAAAGAAGACTACATCAAGAAAGCAGAGGAATTACTCAAAGACGAAAATGTGCATCAACTACTTGAAACAAACCTATCCAAAAGTTCGACAACCAGATCAATAAAACCTTAAACAAACTCTTCAAAGCGAAAGAAATATCGATGCAAGACAAATGGAGAATGAAATCGAATGGACCTATCCTTCCTCGGTTCTACGGCATACCAAAACTACACAAACCAGACATCTCTCTACGATCAGTAGTCTCATGTCCAGGAACTCCAACATACAGCATATCAAGAGAAATTTTGAGGAAACTGAAGCACCTTGTTAAATCATGCGGACATTCCATCAAGTCACCAACGGAATTCTTAGAAAAGATCAAAAGCATTAACATAGGAAACTGCGAGTTAATGGTATTCTTCGATATCATAGCACTATACACATCCATCGAACCTCAACCCGCCAAGGAAACGATGTCCCTCCTGCTCGGTGAAGACACGAGCCTTACAGAACGCACAAAACTTAAATGTTCAAGTGCGATGGAACTAATCGACCTTTGTCTGACAACATACTTCCAATTCAACGGCAAGATATACGAACAGATGAAAGGAACTCCAATGGGATCACCGATATCTGGACTAATTGCATAAGCAGTGATGCAGAGACTGGAAGCCATCATCCTACCTGTGATCAAACCAAAAACTTGGATTCACTATTTGGCCGACACTTATCATTATTGAGAAAGATGATATAGAAAACACTCACAGCTTGATCAACAACGTTTTCAGTGACATCAAATTCACAATGGAGAAGGAGTCAAACAACTAATTACCATTCCTGGATGTTCTAGTCAGTAGAACAAATGCCGGAAAACTGGAAACCCAAGTGTGCAGGAAGCCAACACACACAGACCAAATCCTCAGTTACAGTAGCAACAACCCAACTACCTACAAGATCAGTTGCGTCCAGACCCTATTCAGGACATCGAGAACACACTGCAGTACAACAACTTGAAGGAGAAACGGAGAAAATTACTCGATGTCCATCCTAAAGAAGAATGGCTACCCACGAGACTTTACCAGAAAATATCTATCCTGTACATCATCCAGTGCAAAGTCATCGACAGAAATCAACAAATGCATCATTCTACAGTACATAACAAAATTTCAGAAATCACGACAAGATTACTGAGGCCACTTGATGGAATTGGTGTAGCTCATAAACCAACAAATTCCCTGCAAACACTATTATGCAGACCAAAGTATGCAACAACCAAAGAAGACAAAGCGAATATCATCTAGAGAATCAACTGCAATGACTGTAGTCAACACTACATTGAACAAAGTGATTGTCTTCTTCACCTTCATCTACATGAACACCGATTGGCTATTACACGTCACACGGGACATTCCATCACCCATTTCAATGCACGTGGATAATTATGGACATGAATTGAATTTTGATAAGGTAGAAATCTTGGACGGAGAGAGGAAACACAAAGAATATCATCAGAGAATTCCTAGAAGGTTGGCATTCAGGTCAGTCAGTCAGTCAGTCAGCAATCAATATATGTATAGACATAGATCTGACCTATCAACCAATAAGAAAGATGATAAACAACAGAAAGGTGAGAGGTGAAGCAGAGGGACAGCCAGCAGGAAAATCTATATACTCAATGACGTAACAATCAAAGGAAACAACCAATCACAGACCACTTCGTCAAGGCAAGCTACTAAATCACTGACGGAGAGATATTGACAGCTCACTTCATACTGAAGTTAGTGCCGATGATGTCGTCTAGGAAGACGATGAAAGCTTCACGATTAAACAACCCAGCTCAGAGAACACAATACAACCAAGACCATCCACCTGAACTACAAATATTCTCCACTATTTGTATATTCGATTTTTGGATAGCAGTTATGAAACTGACGTTATTATGGCAACTTGGGTTGGCGCATCTGTGTTCTAGGTTCTTTGTTGATTTCGTCAGTTAGTCAGTCACACATTAGACAAATCGCAATTTACATCGTATCTACGAGACGACAGAGTCATTAGGTCAACAACACAGCAGGTGATCAAACCGCATCTTGCATGTTTAAAAGCCTGTTGACTCTAAATAGGTTGGCAAGTGTTCATTTAAGGTGACTCAGCAACTAAATATGCGTTTCTGTAATGAACTATAACACTACCTGACTATCCAAATCTGAGCAGGTAGGATAATGGAGCTAGAAATCTGTGATCCCTATTTTTTGAAAGTGGAGCGCTTAAACCCATCAATGAGTTCTAAAAGGGTTCAGTAGCAAATTATAATCCAGTGGGAATAATCTATCAGCTCCATACAAATGCATTTGATGATGGCTAGTTGTTATACAGTCAAATTATTGACGCCTTTTTCTACTAGCAGTGAAATACTGTATGCCCCAAACTTTGCTGTCTCCAGACAACCGAAGCTGTTAAGAGAGTAGTTATAGCATCAGAATTATATGTTCATTAATTCACTCACCCTTCTATAGCTCAGTGAATAACGTAACTTTTTTAAAAACTCAGATGAATTTCCTAAATTAATAATAATAATAATCCTTAGAAATTCCTACTATAATTCCTAAGACTATTTGAGTTAACAAAGAATATTCTTTTCGATAACTCCTTCTTCACATCCTACAGTTATTTATACATATTAAGTAGTTTTCATCAACAATGCTGGGAATTCATCCAATAGTTGTGGAAGTCAGTTCAGAAAAGTCTTGTGTTGAACATTCATGTTAGAATCAATATCCCTACTGGGATTCACTGGAATTATACGGCATAAGTAAAGCCATAAAGTGGTAGTCAAATAAAACAATAGGAAGGTGTTTATTGAAGTTGGATACAATGAACAAAGAAAGATCATTTGATGGATAGTAGCTTGATAGAATGTTACTCATGCTGGGGAACAAAAAATAGGTTAAGAGAATGTGTTGAAATCATTTCAGACTATATGGATGAAGGGGGTATTTATCGTATAGAATTAGAAAACTAGATAACCTGGGGTAGGCGACTAAGGATTTTGTCCGCTCTGTTCTACTGTATGGCTATGAAATAGGCATTGAATGTGGAAGACATGAGAAGGCTTCAGGTGTTTGACCACCGTTGCCTCCGTAGTATAGGCCTTATTCCATGGTGTCACCACATGAGTAACGCAGAAGTCAGGAGTAGAGTTTTAGGGATAAGAGGTAAGTCAGTTGATGATGCTGTTGTGAACCTTCATGGACTGAGATGGTTGGCTGGGACATGTGTTACGTGTATGCGTAGTCACCGATTGCCTCGCCTCATTACACCACACAATGTTTGCGGAAGTAGGTTCAGGCTGGAAAAAGGCTGTGGGCGGTCAGACTAAAACACGGGATCAAATGAATGTATGAAGTGTTTGACTGTCGGTTTGAGCCATGTGCGATGATGCAGATTAGCCGGTTGAGGTCTGCGAGACAAGAGAAACCAGTGGTGAGAGACTGACTCTAGGTGGCGATATGGCTCAGAACCGATGTCACTGGCGCATATGTATCCCCATACACATTATCCTCATCTTAACGATGCTATACCGAATCTCACCATTTTCTTATTTTTCCTTTCTCTCTCTTTTGACTGAAGTTTCTTTTCTTCATCTTCCACTTGACTGCCTTTTTACTTGATGTAGTGATATTAGGTGTGGCAACTCGGACCATTATGCAGTAATGTCTGGTCCTATGTTGATTTGGATGGATGGATGAAGGAATTTGTTAGTCCTGAATCGGACCAAGTTAGCCATAGCGGCAACACTTACTTTTTTAAAACATGTAATACAGATTACCTAATCCTGATGGTGTATACTTCTGCAGTTTGAAGGATTTGGAGCTGTGTACCTTTTGGCATATTGATGGCGGACCCTGTACAGAATGAAAAATGACTTTTTCATATCCACGTAAAATGGTTCATTTGAACCATTATGGGCTAACATGGAGCTGGCAATGATCTTTACCACACCTTTACTTAACCACGCTGTGAGGTATTCGCGAGCATAGAAAATTAAATTTTCCCAGAGCAGCGACCAACATAACTGGCTCCATGGTAGCAGTTGAACTGATAAAAACAAGGGTAAGTGGCCAGTCTCGACAATTCATCTATCAAATTCCATACTGTAGGATATCCTTGGTTTATTATATATATATATATATATATATATATATATATATATATATATATATATATATATATATATATATATATGTATTCATTACCTACCTACTGACACTTCATGTGTATAGTATTATCCATAGGGAATTCATATTTAAACGGTGAGCCCAATGAAATTTACAGTACTTATTTCCTCAAATCATTCTGTTTCACAAAATATGAAGTCTTCTATTTGTTTTATGTGTGTAAAGAATTTTTGACTAGGGGTATGTGTACTTCAAAAGATTTCTTCTTGTTAACTAGAAGTGAAGTGTAGTGTATGGTTTTACTTTAGGAAAAACATTGTTACAACCAAATATGAGATTGACTTTCGGCACCTTAGATTATTGAGACACCAAGTCATCGGCAACAGCATCCGGCTGGAGAGCTCTAAATAGGATAAATTGCGCGTCTTAGATTCCATTGCCAGCTATCAAATACACTATATCATAGTGAGTATTCGGTTAGTATTGAAGCATCTATATACGAGCTCAAGTTCACCTGTGGCTCATTGGTTTAGTGAGTTACAAGCTCGAATCCCGCTCCGCTGACTAAGGTTTGGGCACGATCAGGTAGACTTATTAGCCCTCACACAATTGGGTTGTTTGTGGCCTCTTGCCTACTGCTTCAGTACGTGCAAGGTTGTTGAGTGTTTTACTATTCAATTTCCTACTTTTTCATTATTTCAAAAGTCAACTGTTTTTTTTTTGTTGTTGTTGCTTATTTATTTATTTAATTATAAACTAGTTTACAATCTGAGATGATACGTAAAGCAAATAGATCTTCGTCAGATTCTACTGGTTTATTCAATCAAGTCACCGAATGGTTGTACAGTTTATTAATGCTTGAAGGAAACAATACAGATGATAATGTCAATAAGTGTATATCCTATTTAACAGAAGGTATTCATGCACTTTGTGAATTTTTCAACATTCCAGAGGTAATGTGCACATTTTTTTTTACTGAATACAGTATTTACTACTATTACTTAAAGTCTAACTTCTTTCTTTAGATCAGTTATGTGTATTAAGTTTATGGATTATCTGATGTACGTTTTCTGTCTGCTTGGATTATGTATAGCAGACGTTGAAATGTCAGTAACATATCGACCACTGTGTTCATCGTAACTCGTTAGCTGGCTGGTCAGATTTACACTAGATAGTCATTGTCTTCACCTCAACCGAAGGTGTATTTCATGTTGTATCACTGAAGTCAGTAATCTTAGCTCACTTCTGATAGTTTTAATTTAGCTGTTACAGGATTCACTTAGGATCGATGTCAGTGTCGCGTAGATTATTCTCTAATGATCTAAAAATCCCCTATTACTGAAAACTTACTTCAGCTATTAGTACATTAATTCAATAATCGGCAAACGACTTGTTCTAAGATGATAGATAAACGTGTAGGCTCTCTCTGATACATACGTCCGTCCATCTATCCATCCATCCATCCATCCATCCATCCATCCATCCATCCATCCATCCATCCATCCATCCATCCATCCATCCATCCATCCATCCATCCATCCATCCATTCATACATACATACATACATACATACACCACTTTGTGTACTTTCATGTCATTCCCTTTCTATCCACCTGTTCTTTGTGTACATCTATGAAGTGTGACAACTTCTGCTGACCCACCTGTGTGCAAGGTTCTACTTTGATTTTATCAGTCAGGCTGTCTATGAATTTGTCGTACTATTGGTCTAGGTATTCAACTTTTACTCAGTGTTTCACAAATCCAAATCCTGCTCTACCTACCGAGGTTTAGACAGCCAGATAGGGTCATTGTTTCTCTCATAATTGATTTGGCTCCTTGACTGGTGTATCAACTGAAATAAAGTTGCTGAGTTGCATTCTTTTTACTATGCTTAATATTTGATTTTGTACAATCACTTTCGACTAGCATTCATCTGAAATGAGTCTAGTAAATCGGTTACTACTCGGTTGATTCTAACGAAGAGACTCGTATGGTTATTATATAAATACCAATGATTGATAACTTAGAGATTCACGTGAAAGGCTTTAAAGCTTTGCACTGTGTATGAAGGTTAACGAAAGCACCTGGTTCGCCAACTTTAGATTATGTAAAGTGAAATTTAGGTTTCCTAACAGTCCGTCAGTCAATATTCAACATAAGAATTAGCATTACTGCGATCACCTAGGAAGTCTGACCATCGATTTCAGTTACTTAGCATTATCCTAATTAGAAAGCACACGCTGTTCAGCCAAACAATTGGCAACTTTATAAATTAGTTTCATTCTTGTAAGCGTGTAACACAGTTCACGTTGTTCAAAAATGGAAGGACGTCGCCAAGTGGCAAGCTTTTACAATGGAGCAACTATTTCTCTCTCTATGAGTAATGAATACATCTACATGTAGTACCGAAGAGTCTCAGACATAAACTACCAATGGACTGCCCAATTAGATGGAAGATGGCTGAACAAAGTGAAAGATGGATGGTGCAGTTGATCATTACAGATGCACATTATAAGATCCGGAAGAACTAAGTTGTGGTTGACAACCAAAGGAAAAAACTAGAAAGTATATTAACAGTACATGACAGCGTTAACAACAACATTTGAAAAATCACTTAGGCGAAAGAAAGAATGACGAAGGAAAATCAAACTTTTCTAAACATCTACAACCGAGGAAACAAGTACATGTGTTACCAACGTTATTGAACCACCACTGTCAGAAGTGGAAGAACTTTTTCTTCAGAAAAGACCAAATTAAAATACAGGGACGCCTCAAAACCAGAATTCTCCGCTGCATTACACTGCAGCGAAGAATTCGTCACTCAACACCTCAGGACTAAATAAGGACATTCAACAAGAATTACAGCAGGCGATGGTGCCACTGACCAGACACGAAAGATTATACACAGTTTACCACTCAGAAACTCAGAAAGGATTAAAACGACTGAAAAATAAGAAAAAGCAGTTATCCTCCTTGGAGATAAAAGGCGCACTAATGTAGCCATGGACGAGTAAGACTAAGTCAAAAAGGCCGCGGATTTACTCAAAGAAGGGATCTGTATCAGACACTTGTCAACGCAGGAGGAATAGCAAAACAAGGCAGTTAGCGAACAGAATTGACAGAGCTTGTTTTTCCTTGGTTTTACGGCAGATCAAAACTCGTTCTTTCGAAGCTAATCCTAACTCAGCTAAAATATCTCATGGAAGCTGTGGTGAATGGGCTTAAGGTCTTCATTTTCAACCAATGGCTCCTGCATTCAAACTCAGTTGCACCTACTTCGGCCTGGGCAACGAAGTAGAATCATAAACCCGCATGTGAAAAATATGCATATATCCATGAAAACTTACCATTTCACCATTGACAATCCCACCTTATAGGTTTAGTATTCTGTGTACAGCTTCACTACTGCTTATACCGCACTTCTACATGTAATCGATGTGGAAAAAGCAGTATTTGTCATATAATTGATGGTCATCTCAAATCCTTTACCTTGAATGGTTATGTTTTTCTTAACAAAGTCATAGTAGAACACAGCTGTCTGCTGTGCATAATGCTTGCCTGGACAACAAATGGTGTAAGTTAACAAAGACGAACACAGTTTTTCTGTACTCCCATCAAGACTTTTGTTTATGGTTTATCATGTGATATATCGCATAGATTAGATACTACTATGCTAATTAGCTGATAGTAGCCCATTGTGAAAATCAAAATGCAAAATTCGCTAGACACTTTCATTGCCCATATTAATGTAAGGGAGAAAATGTACAGTCAAATGGGATAACTGTTGACGTGTCTTACCAACACATGTGCTCATAGCCAAGTCTCATATAAGATAACTAGTGGTTTAGGGCTCATATTGAATTGTAAGCTACTATTTTAATTGGCTGTTTTTCAACTTAGTGTCCTGACAAGCGGTCAATGCATTCAACCACTTCATTTAGTATCGCCAACAGAGACTTCAATTCAGATTGCTCGTGAAACAATTGTTAATGAGAAATGCATTACAGACGTGTTGAAGATCAATAGAACTGCAAAGAAAGTTCGCGTGATTTATGTTTGAGTAATATTTAGTTTTGGTAAGTTTGTATCCACCGTCTTTCAATTTCTCACATGATTAGTAATCTCAAATCATGTATTGCTGTTTTTTTTTTTTTTTGACCTTCAGACTTTAGAAGTTGAAATCAATATGTCACCAAAACTATCACAACCTGGTCGTATACACTGGGATGATCTTGGTAATAGTTCACTGGTTATGCGACCGCACTTACAATCTCCATCAACATTATCACCATCATCATCTACATTGTATGGGAAATATTCAAATCTTATGAATTCATTGTCAGATGAATATCATCCATCTTGGAGTACAAGCACGTATTCAATTCCTCAGAATAAGGCTGTAATAAATCATCACAACAATGATAATAATAATAATGATGATAATCGAAATTCATTGGAACCTGAGAAAGTGTTAACACCGTTTGATCGGTTCCGGGTAAGTAGTATAACTTCAGATTTGTTTTTCTTTCATGATATGGATATTTGATAGATATCTCATAAGGTGAACTGGTCCGACCAACCATATTAAGCTCAGTTTTATGGTCATTATTATTGTTATCATTACTATTATTATTACTACTTGCGTACATACCAAATTACCAGATTATTGTCAGCTTGATAGCCTAGTCTTTTATATAGAGCTATGCATCATTGGTTTCTTATGGTTTTTTAAGACTTCTCAACTCTTTCCATTTATCTCATTCCTTTGTACTCTGACTTACTTTGAAACTAGCTGACTGATATCTTTTGTCACTTATTCACCCTTGTATCAATAATTCAATTATGTAGATCAGTGTTTTCTGACCCAATCAATTTATTGGTCACTTTTAAAACTGTATAGCTATGTAAATCACATATAAATCTTTCTTCGATTCTGTGCTGACGAAATTTCAGCTCGGATATCGAAGACCCATTTTGGGATTTGCCAACTTGCATCATCTGTGGCGGCGGCGGCGAGATATCTGACTACCTATGAAAGGACGAGTGTACCGCACTAGAGTCCATTTTGTCTCGTTTTACACCTGTGAGGAATGGTCTTTACAAGTAGAAGACATGAAGCTATTACAGGATCTTGATCACAGCTGTCTTCGTAGCATTGCTCTTGTTTGGTGGAATTACATCACCTTGTGAGCAATGTTGAGGTTGGGTGAAGGGTACTAGACAAGATAGGCAAGTCTATTGATAAGGTTGTGAACCTTCATCGGTTAAGGTGGCTTGGACATGTGTTGCACATGCTGTCATCACCTGCCTCGACCTCCCACGTTAGTTGGGAGGTCGGATTAGGTTGGAAGAGGGTTCAGGGTGGCCAGACTAGGACGTGGCACATGTCGATGAAGTCTCTGACTGTTGATATGAACCGTGTAGGGAGATGTAGACTGCTTGGGTGGGGTCCCTGAGACGATAGGAATCAGTAGTTGAGGGCTGTTGGTGACAGCTGAAAACCGGTCATAATAGCGCAGGTGTTTTCGGTCCTTGACATTTTCTGAAGCTTAAATATTAGTAGTAATCTTTATCTTCAGATTGTTTATTGTCTCACAACTTTGTCTACTTTGATATCAAGTCTGTCTATGTACCTGTTCTTCGTATACTATTGTGAAGTGTGGTAAATTGAATCGATGCACTTGTGTTCGAGGTTCTACGTTGATTTTGTCAATGAATCAGTCAGTTAGTTAGGTATTTGGAGTAAATCGGGAGGAAACCATGAACCACCTGCATTTCGTATTCGTTGGTACTTATTACCAGATAGTAAGATTTTAACATTTGACCGAATCAAATAGCTTATTTCCAGCTACTGACTTTATGGTAGTTTTATAGATATGTGAAGAAAAACATAGCTGGACCATTTCACCATAGAAAAATGCATTTCTAATATTTGATATCAACATGTTTATAAAATGAGTTACCTTAGTTTTAGGTGTAATAATTAAACGATACATGATTTGTTTGTTTCGTTTATTGTTATGAATTCTTTCTTCAGGATTATTAAGGAGTAAGTAGAGTAGAGTACTCATTTCATGTAAAACAATTCCTGTACACATAACTCTACACTTCCTCATCTCTATCATACCAACCTACATCGAGAATATGTTCTTCCATGCGACTAAATATAATTCTTAGTGTCGTTAAAGCCTATGTCTCTGTTGGTGTACTTGAATTAGACACATAGTATCCTGTGTCAAACACTGGCAGATAAAAGTATCGAATGTTGCACAGAACTCCAACTGTTGAATTAACCATTAACTGTACAGAATGATAGACTTAGCTGAAATGGAATGATGTTAGGATAAATAAAAGAAATATGGCAGTTCATCCCCAAACAAGGGAAACCCTTTTCCGCTGTTTAGACCACTTTCATCTAGCTGGCGAAATACTACAGATCAACTGGAATGGATTCTAATCACTCAGTTTGTCCAGTAGTGGTGCAGTGGGCGTTACTGATCAGAATGGATATAAGTGGTATATGTTAAGAAGGCTGCAGAAATCATGGGTAATTGCCAGCAATGTGCAAGTATTCTGCCCAGAGAAACGCAAGAGACAATTCAGGTGTATTAAAAGCAAATCAAGAAAGTAGCAGAAGAGAGAATGAAACACATTATGCAAATGACTGTCTTAGTGCAAGGTGTACAATATTTAAATGACTACCGTACAAGATGTCAATAACATACATTGCTTCCTTTATCTCCGTCTTATCGTTTCTACGGTGATATCTTACGCTAGTTTATAACACTTTTGTGTTAGAGATCTCGGCTGAGTGGTTTTCAGTGAAGACAATAGGATGGGTGGCAGTTGAAAAGCTACTCGCCTGTGAGAAATGTCAACATAGATTATGCAATTTGACAATCATTTACAAATTGATCATTTTAGTGTAACATTTCCCCAAGATCAGTTTGTGTGAGTATGGATTGAAGTGACTAGCTCTGCTTTGATGAAATGTTGTAACTTTTGCTATTTTTAGGGCGGGCAAGATATTCTTTTATACACATTATAATCACCTATCAATTGTACAAGACGATTGTGTTACGTCGTCATACAAGACTGCTAGATGTGATCTCCAAGGGAAGATGACATAACAAGCCGACTGATTTCTCATTTCTTGAATGCAACTGATGTTTGACGTACAGCCAGCCAACCAGTTTATAAAATGGCAAGCTTATAGTGACTAAAATAGCTATAAGATGTGCTTTGCATACTGAGCTTTTGTTTGTTTTCATGTGCAGTGTTGGCTTTAATAAGAGCATTGCTCAACGCTTCTGAGGGATGAATAACAGGACTCAACCTAGTATAAAGTCACTGACTGGTATTTTGAGCAAGGTATAGTAAATTCAGTCTTCATCTTTTGGATATCCCTGAGGTATTGGCATTATTGTGTCCCATAGTTTAAAGATAATTACAACGGGCCTGATCCATTCGCTTCTCATCATGATCATCAAGTTTTGAAGATACTATCTTGTTTGACTATTGGTTCTCTTCTTTCTCAGTTATTTCCTTCCTGACCATTCTCGTGTTTCTCTCCTTCTTACTGTTACAAAGTATGATAACTTGAGCTTGTGCTAAGTTCTGTACTCTTCATGAAATTTTTTAGAATTGTTAATTAATCTGGTTGCTAATCAATTTCTGAAAACTACTGAATCTCTGAAGAAGTTTCTTGACGATGTACTTTAATGTATGCGTTCAATTGAAATCGATGTTTAATGATGATGATGATAATGTGTCTTTCTTTAATTTGATAGATTATAATGGGCATGCAACGTCCTAATGTGTTTCGTCAAACCACCAACAGAGATTATGTGTCAACATATAGTACTTCATATGAAAATCGTTTCATACTTGCTGCATGCAATTATATTGAAGATAAAATCAATGGAAAGGTAAGAATAATCTTTTTTTTTAATGCTCTCACTTTTGTAAATAATGCTCAATATTCTTCTTCGTCTTGGGAAGCGACGAGTTGGACGTCCAAGGGTGACATGGAGGAGGTCATGCGAGGAGGAAATGAGAGCTTCTGGGCTGTCGTGGAACCAGGTTCAAAAGATCTCAGAGAACAGAGGTCACTGGAGGCGTGCTACTGAAGCCCTATGTTCCACTAGGAACCCAAGGGACTAATAATAATAATAATAATAATTCTTCGTCTAGCTATTTCCCTAACTAAAGATACTTCTAATTTATAATTTAGATGATATTTTGGTGGTTATTAAGAAATAACAACTCGCTACCGATCTGCTAACACAGAAAGTAGTTAGAAGTAGAATGTTTACTGGATAACTAGTTTGTGCATAAAAATCAATCGAACAGAGAAGTGAGAACATAATTATAAAACAGTATACAAATGCTACTGATCATTTTTTCTGAGATAAAAAAAAACAACAACCCTGAACACCACTATTTTAAAGATTTTTTTCCCTCTTAGTCATTTTCAAGATTTCATTGTTTCAATCCTATTGGAATAAAATTTCTCTGTGGTTTTATATGTGTCATAGGTTATAAAATCAGATACCGGTCCAACATACGGAGATCTGAATAACCAGGAAGAGTATGATAGGTGTATGTCATCATTCTTAATTTGAGTAAAAATACAATGAAAATGAAGCAATACACTAATTCACATTGAATAATACCTTCAACTAAGGACTGACTTTCACTCAAAAATGATCCAAGGAGTTCAATTAGCTATGGTTACTAGTGAAATTGAAATTTCTATGACATTTATGGTTCTCTTTCTTCTGATTCATATGAACTGATATCAATTGAAAAAACGTGAAGGCACTACACAGTTCTTTCGTCCCAGTATGGGACTCCTCAATAGTCTCCACTTATGACTTTGGTCTCTATGGGTCGAACCAATCACCTTTACTGTGATGTAACGTTCATAAAGAATTGATAAAATCATTTAATTAAATTTAGAAGTAGTATTCATCATGGACTGACATCAGTTAGGGAACCACTGAAAACTTGGGAGCACTGGATAGCTGTTCCGTCCCAGTACGGGGTTCCTCAGCAGCACACGCCCACGACCCAGCTAGGGGTTGGACTCACGACCTTCAGGTTTGAAGGCGAACCCGTTAATCACTGGGTCGGTTCCCAGTGGTTCACAATTTCCAACTTCTGTCAATTCACGACATAGCGTGACTATCACCCAAGGTCTTCAGTTAGCGTTCGCTTCACTTTTGACTGGTTGACCCCACAGGTCACGGGTTCTCATTAGAGCTTCGTGATATTACCCATCTGGAAGCAAGTCACTAATGAGCACTATGCAGTTATGTATTTTGAGATGAGTGGGGAAACTGACTCAGTGGCTAAATGGTTAACGCATTCGCCGTGAAACATGAAGGTCCTGAGTTCGATCCCTAGCCAGGTCGTGGGTGCGTACTGCTGAGGAGTCCCATACTAGGACGAAACAGCTGTCCAGTGCTCCCAGATTTCCAATGCTTCCCCAACTGATGTAACTCCATGATGAATACTACTTCTAAATTAAAAAATCCCTATTCATCTCAAAAATACATTTAATTAAGTTTTTGAGGGGTTGTGGAGATTTGGAATTATTTCAAGTTGTTATTCATCGAAGACTGACATCAGTTGGAGGGACAAAGGAAACCTGGGAGCACTGGACAGCTGTTTCGTCCTAGTATGGGGTGCGCACTGCTGAGGAGTCCCATACTAGGACGAAACAGCTGTCCAGTGCTCTCAGATTTCCAATGCTTCCCCAACTGATGTAACTCCATGATGAATACTACTTCTAAATTAAAAAATCCCTATTCATCTCAAAAATACATTTAATTAAGTTTTTGAGGGGTTGTGGAGATTTGGAATTATTTCAAGTTGTTATTCATCGAAGACTGACATCAGTTGGAGGGACAAAGGAAACCTGGGAGCACTGGACAGCTGTTTCGTCCTAGTATGGGGTGCGCACTGCTGAGGAGTCCCATACTAGGACGAAACAGCTGTCCAGTGCTCCTTTGTTCCTCCAACTGATGTCAGTCTTCGATGAATAACAACTTGAGATTTAATTAAGTGTTGAATTTTCTCCTAACACTTAGTCAAGTTAATTTACAATACAAGTGATATTATCTATGTTCTATTTGTTTGTAGATGAAAAACTACTTCATTCATTGGTGTAAACTACGCGATATCCGTGGCAGAATTGCACGTCGAATATTACTTCGAACATCAACAGTGAATCAGTCTAAATCTCAATTATCACAAAAAAGTAGTAGTAATCATCCTAGACTGTCATTTCGTTTTCTAGCTAACTATTATATATTAATACGTCTCTTTTTACTGTATCTATTCAGTTATGCTTGTCTAGGGATTCATTCACCAGTTTTTTATATTTTTTGTTTAATTATTCTATGCATTTTCTATCAGATTTTCCAATCATTACTAGGAATGTGTTATGAGAAAATTAAACAACTTTAAACACAGATCATTTATTTATATATACATTATTACATATGTGGATTTATATGCTTGAATAAATATCTACTGAATTATATGGAACGTTTTCTTATCTCTGGTAATATTAGTCCGCCAGTTAATCATTTTCTCAATTAAAACTATTTTATCATATATTTAATATGTGTAAATCTAAAATGTAAAAGCAAGACAGGCGTTCATTAGCCTGAAACCAGTGTGAAGATCTTCTGCACTCAGCATGCGGAACAAGATACGGATTTTCAACACCAACGTCAAGTCAGTGCTCTTGTATGGCTCAGAGACTTGGCGCGTCACGAAAGGGATTTCCAATAAACTACAGACATTCATCAACAACTGCTTACGCTCGCTGCTGAAGATCAGATGGCCAGAAAAAATAAGCAACAAGGAACTCTGGGAACGAACCAGCCAAGAACCTATCACGCAACAAATATGCAGGAAGAAGTGGAGATGGATTGGTCATGCACTGAGAAGGCCGACGGAGGACATCACGCGTCAGGCCCTCGAGTGGAATCCCCATGGGAAGCGACGGGTTGGACGTCCGAGGGTGACATGGAGGAGGTCATGCGAGGAGGAAATGAGAGGTTGTGGGCTGTCGTGGAACCAGGTTCAAAAGATCTCAGAGAACAGAGGTCACTGGAGGCGTGCTACTGAAGCCCTATGTTCCACTAGGAACCCAAGGGACTAATAATAATAATAAAAAATCTAAAATGTAAGATGTTCCACTTTGACTGTATCGTGTTACGTAGAAGTTAGTGGAATACTGAGCTCCTGTAATACTGTGTCTTCATGGGTTCATATACTTCCTCTTTCTTATAGAGATGAAATTGTTCTGTGATAGACCATATCGTCAGTTCCGTAGGTGGTTATTTGCTTACTAGTCGTCTTCATTCCGCATCCACATACACATGCACAATGAATCGTGTTTCCATCCGACACGTTATATTCTATAGACAGTAAAAAACATCGAAAAATGGATATCTGACTACTTGAGAATTCTTATTCTTCTAGTCTGTCTATGGTAAACCAGGCTAACCAATCAGCATTATCGAACTGTCACTACAGACCTTGGGTTTATACAGCCATGACCAGTAACGACTGGTGGTGTTCATACTGAATTCCTTCTTCTGTAGAGTGTATGCAAAGTGATCGAGTGAATAATAATAATAATAAGAAGAAATATGCGAACGATAATAGCGCGACGCGACACTTGGACTGGATGCGTATAGCAACTGTTCTGCCTTAGAACTTTATACTTCACTGAGCCACGAAAATCAGGTCACAAAGACCGACCTATGACTGTAATGAAGACACTTTATTCGGCAAAAATGCATCATTTTTATACAGTTTTAATAAACATATAAAACCACAAAGTCAATAGTTAAATACTTATGATTTGATTAGTCAACTGTAGGATGGATTATCCACTAAGATTTCTCCTGACTATACAGTGACAGACAGATAGACAGCTTCTTATTAGCATGTATCGCTAAATGTTCTCATATTTGGTGAGGAATATTATAATCGGTCACTGGCGTGATGAACACACTTAAGGCATCATAATCGGTTTGGTTATATTTGCTATTTCATGAAAAGGCAGTAGGTTTCGAGTTATTACCCCTTGTAATGCCATTCATCGTACTTATTTGTCAAAGGTGATTATTCGTTTGTGTGTAAAAAAGCAGATAACCAATATGTTCAACATTACTCTAATTGTAAAACGACGAAATAATGGTGTTGTTCGACTTTTGTATTTCACAAAGTTTGTGTTAACTGAAGAGAATCAGAACAGTGTCAAATGTTGGTGATAATATCATATGCCATGGTAGAAAGATTTCAAAACGACGATTGAGTGAATGCTAATGATGGCACCGTAAGTTGAGATCAACGAGAAAACCTCAGTACGACATGTTAAACGAAATTCATGGTTTCGTTGATGTTCGTACTGAATGTTAGCTATTTAATATTGTAGAATACACTGACAGCTTGTTATCTGCTGATCATTTCACAACTGGTTGAAATATAGTAATTTTTTAACCCCAATTAGCCTAGATTAGTAGTGAAAAGTGGCAGGGGAACTGAGGTGATACTTATGGAAAACAAAAGATTGGAATCCCTACCCTGATAAAATGTATTTCCATTGATTTAATTTATATAGTTCCTCTGCGATAGTAGTTAATATCATATGAAACGGGTTGGGCTAAACTTGGGATAAAATGTTCACTGCAGAACACTTGTGTTTAATAATTAAGATTTTCAAAATAGGCAAAAATGTGTTCATTGCCAAATAATTATACCCATTCCACTATGAGGTGTTGTATCGTAAAGCATAGACAGACAGAAAAAATCAACGTAGAACCTCGTACACAAGTTACCACACTTTACAGTCGAATACAAAGAACAGTTGGATTGAAAAAGAGTGATATTTTAGTCCGTCAGCATAACTATCGAGTCTAATGGATCTGCGATGAGAGATAATGCGTTCAGTTCGTGTATACAATAGGTCCAGTTCCCGTTGCTAGTAATTCGATTAACAACGACGCATATTGAAAAGACAAAAACACAAATAATGCAAACGATATATTTCAAGTGGACTTTGATGGGTAAACCGAAAACGAAAAGAAGCGCGAAGTGTACAAGGGTTGAAGAAAGTGTGTGGAAAGTTCTCAAGCATTCTTGATGAAGACAAACATCTCAACCATGTAAAATGTCTAAAAATTGAATGATACATTCTAAGGAACAAATTAAGGTTACTACATAAGCCTCCCCTTAGAACATAGATATTATTGGTAATGTCTGTGTTCGATAATTAACGTAAGAATGATAATACGTAAGTAAGATTTGGAGTATTATCAACAGAGATATTACAAGTTAGTGTGGATACACAAAAACTACACGGTAAAGTGAATAAAAATTATGGAAGATGAAATTTTATTATTAATTATTGTACGGATAGAAGAAACAAGTTTAGGAGTGAAAAAAAATGTGTTGTTGTTTGGATCCATGGGGCTCTACTGATATAAAAAGTGTTCACTGTATTTAAAAAAAAATTAATTTAATGTATATTAACAACTAATGGATGAAGATTGAAGGGATTAGAAGTAAATTGTTTCTAAAAATCGTTTAGGCCAATGAACTCTCTCTCTCTCTCTCCTGATTTCGTACAGTTTTCTGTGTTAGCGGATAGCGGCTTTTAACATTTTTCATTTTTAGGGGCTTTTTATTTCTGGCTGTCTGTTTTCGTTATCGACAAGTTCCATGATTTTCGAAGCAGATTCTAAAAATGCTGGTTTGAGTCTGTCGACACTAACCGTTTCATGTCTTCTGGAGCAGTCTATGGTAAATACTTTATCTGTTCTACTGATTACACGGTAGGGTCCATCGTAAGGAGGTTATAATGGTTTGTGAACCCAATCGTACCTAAAAAATACGTGAGTACAATCTTGAAGCGTTTGAGGTACATAAAACTGTTGTTTTTGTTGTCTTGGGGGTCGTGGTCGCAGACTTCTCATGTAAACAGTGAGTCGTTGCACATAGTTAGTTAAATCCTGTGGAACTTCAATCGTTTGGCTAAAATAGTCACCTGGCAATCGTAGAATAGTTCCCTAAACTAATTCTGCTGTACGACAACCAAGATCCTGTTTCGCCGTCGACCGTATGCCTAAGAGAACAAGTGGCAGCTTGTCACTCCACTTACCATCGCATTGAGTAGCCATTAACGCTGCTTTAAGCTGTCGGTGAGATCTTTCTACCATTCCACTGGCGATTGGATGGTAGGTGGTTGTCCGAAGTCTTTTGATTCCAAGTAATTCTATGGGTTGCTGAAAAAGATTTCCTTCAAACTGTACATCTCGGTCTGTCGTAATCGTGGCGGGTACACCAAAATTGGAAATCCAGTGTTGGATGCTATTTTTGGCGATTGTTTCTGCTGAAATGTCTCTAATGGAAACTGCGACTGGCCATCTAGTAAAACGAACGATGCAAGTTAAAATGTAGTTGAAACCATTAGATGGCGGTATAGGTCCCCTAATGTTGACATGTATGTGGGATAATCTAGCATCTGATAGACAGAACGCATCTGCAGGAGCGGCAGTGTGCCTTTGTACTTTGGCTCTTTGGCAGGTTAAATATGACTGTGCCCATTTCCGTACGTCGCAGTTCACATTGGGACATGCAAAACGCTCGGTGATCATTTTGACTACAGCATTTATCCCTGGATTAGAGGTGTTATGCATGTTGTCAAAGTTGTCGCGTCTCATAGCACTGTGGTACATAGGGTCGGGTTTTTCTAGTTGGTATGTCACAGATCACTTTAAAATCACCAAATTGTACTTCGGTGAACTTCAAAGAAGACGTTGAGGAAAACATTAACTTCGATAATTCTGAATCTGTCTTTCGCAACTCAGGTAAACGTTTGTAGTTAACCCTGGAAATGGTGAGGTTGCTGACATGCATACGCGATAAGACATCAGCGACTTCGTTGTCGTGGCCTTTGATGTGACGTATATAGGGAGCGAATCGGACTATGAAATCTAAGTGAAGCAACTCACATGGAGAATAATTGTCATGTTTAGCTGATAAGGCCTTAGTCAAAGCCTTGTGGTCTGTGATAACTGTAAGAATAGTACCCTCTGACATATGCTTGAAATGTTTAGTAGCTAGATATACAGCAAGCAACTCTCAACCGAATGTGCTATAACGACACTGAGTTGGGTTCAGACGTTTTGAAAGGAATACTAGCGGTTGCCAATCTCCATTTATCTTCTGTTGTAAAACTGCTCCAACAGCAATATTGGAGGCGTCTGTCATGAGTGATAATGGAGTGTTAGCGTCTCTCCTGAAGAGGAAGATCTTTTCGTTAAGGAGTTGTTTTGCTTTTTCGAATGATTGAATTGCTTCCGTAGACAGATAGAGCGGGAACGTCCACGTAAACAACTAGTCAATGGCTGCAAAACAGAGGCACAGTTTGAAAATGAAACAACGGGAGAAGCTGACTAGCCCTGGGAAACGGTGTAGTTTCTCAAATGAGTCTGGTAGTGAGTAATCTTTTATAACTTTT